AAATAAAATAATTTGTATAGTATCAGTCAACTATGGCTAGGATCTCTGGGAGTTAATGTAACTGACTACCTACTACATCATGTTTTGTCACTGCGTGTATTTTATTTATTCCTTTAAAGATACTTATCAAGTGGGGTCAGCATGGTGGCTCAACAGGCTAATTCATCTTGTAGTGCCGGCATTGTGTATGGACACCGGTTCTGGTACTGGCTGTTCTAGTTCCTGTTCAGTTCTGGGAAAGGAGTGGAGGAAGGCCCAAAGCCTTGGAATCCTACACTCGCATGGGAGACTCAGAGAAGGCTTCTGGCTCCTGTGTTTGGATCCAGCTCAGCTTTGGTCATTGTGGCCATTTGGAGAGCAAAGCAGTGGACAGAAGGTTGATTTCTTTCTCTGTCTGTGAATCTGCCTTCCAAAAATAACTAATAAATAAACAAACAAATAAATATTTTTAAAAGCCTATTTATTTTATGCAAAAAAACCCAGAGTGACACAGAGAGAGGGAGGGACAGCTCTTCCAATCTCCTGGATTATTCCCCAAGTGGTCACAACAACCAGGACTGGGCTGAGCTGCAATGAGGAGCCAGGAACTCCATCCAGGTCTGCAAGTGTGTTGCGTGGGTCCAAACAATTGAACCACCTGCTGTTGCCTTCCCAGGTGCATTGGCAGGGAGCTGGATTTCTGAAGTGGAGCAGCTGGGGCTCGAACTAGTGCTCCATTGTGAGATGTCAGCACGGCAGGCAATGCCCTAACCCACTGAACTACAGTGCAGGCCCCTCAATTACATACATTTTTTTTCCCTAAAAATTTATTTATTTATTGGAAAGGCATATATACAGAGAGAAGGGGAAACAGAGAAAAAGATCCTTCATGTACTGGTTTACCCCCCAAGTAGCCGCAATAGCCAGAGCTGAGCTGATCTGAATCTAGGAGCCAGGAGCTTCTTCTGGGTCTCCCAGATGGGTCCAGGGTCCCAAGGCTTTGGGTCATCCTCTACTATTTTCCAGCCACAAGCAGTGAGCTGGGTGGAAAGTGGAGCATCAGGGACATGAACCGGCACCCATATGGGATCTTGGCAGATATAAGGCAAGGATTTAGCCACTAGGCTATTGAGCTAGGCCCAACTATTTACATTTTAATAACAAACAATGACCAAGACATATACTTAAGGAGAATATGAAAGGAGCCGAATATATACTCGTGGAGTTGCAAAAGTAATTAAAAATGTAAAAAAAAATAATTAAAAATTTATAAAGCGATGAAATGTAATATATAATATTATAAGCTTTGATTTTTTTGGTTGTTTTGTGTGTATGTGCGTGATAGTACTGTGGTTTTTAGTGTGCCTATATAAATATAAACTACCTGCTGAACCAGTTTTAAGATTTATGACTAAATATTATAATTACGTATGATAGATTACATAAAGCTTTTTATTGTTATGCAAAGATAACAAAGTGTTAAACTCCTAGTCAGTGTTTTTCTGAATAGCTAAGCATGATCTATGTTTGTTCACTTACAGTTCTGTTGGCTTTTCCAAGTATTATTCATTTTGTTTAAAAAGAGGTTTATCTACTTATTGATTTGAAAGGCAGAGTGATGAAGGGGGAGGGACAGACAGAGATGTTCCATTTGCTTAGTTCATCTTCCAAATGACCTCAACAGCCAGATCAGGGGCAGTCCTAAGCCAGAAGCCAAGAACTCCATCCTTGTCTCCCAGGTGGGTGGCAGGGACCTGCGTACTTGGGCTGGCTGTTGCTGCTTTCCTGTGTGTGTTACAGGATCTGGCTTGATAGTGTGGAGTAGCTGCCACTGGAAACGGCACTCTGAAGTGGGTTGTGGCAGTCTTGACTTTACCTTGCAATGGATTACTGTATTACCTTGCAGTGGAATAAAGTAACTCCTTCAATACTTGGAGCAGGTTTTCCACAAGATTTTTATTTCGCAAATGGACACACGCATACTTCTTTTTCTTGACATTTAAAAATAAGCATTTGTAAAAAGGATTAATATTTTTGCTTGAAAGTTAGAGGTGCAGAGATCTGTTCATTGGTTCACTTCCCAAATGGCTGCAATGGCTGCAACAGCCCGAGTTTCTGAAGCCAGAAACCAAGAGCTTCTTCTGGGTTTCCTGTGTGGGTGCAGGGGCAGAAGAACTTGGGTCATCCTCCACTGCTTTCCCAGACCACCAGCAGGGAGCTGGATGGGAAATGGAGCATCCAGTACACAAACTGGGGTCCATATGGGATGCTGGTGATACAGGCAGAGGGTTAGTTTTTTATGCCACCATGTCAGTGCAAGAACAGGCATTTTTATCATTTTTTTGTAGCTAAAATTTAACTCATAAGGGATATCTAGTATTTTTTTTAAATCAATAATTTCCTAACATGACTGTTAAACTGTGCTGAACAAAGCTTTCACAGAGAATGTGAAGTGCTTCCATAAATGCAAATATGTTCAATGGAAAGATCTGTCCTTTTCTCTAAGCGCAACCTGATTTTTGTCCTTTCTACATTATTGGTATTTGAATGTTTAAATTTGGGGTGGATGGGCTCAGCATGGTGGCCTAGTGGTTAAGTCCTTGCTTTGCACGTGTTGGGATCTCATATGGGTGCCAGTTCATATCCCGGCTGCTCCACTTCCCACCCAGCTCCCTGCTTGTGGCCTGGGAAAGCAGTCGAGGACACTCCAAAATCTGTGTGAGAGACCTGGAAGCAGCTCCTGGCTCCTGGCTTCGGATAGGCTCAGCTCTGGCCATTGCAGCCATTTGGGGAATGAACCAGTGGGCAGAAGATCTTTCTTTCTGTATTTCTTCTTTGTAAATCTGCCTTTGCAATAAAAACAAGTAAATCTTTACAAAAGTAAAATTTGGGGGATAAATATTGTTTTTAACTTAGTAAAATTTGGGAGAAAAATTTACTGGTTGTTGAGATCCAAATATTTAGAAGCCACTGTTGACATTCTCTGAGGCTGGCTTAGCAGGTACAATGATTGTGTCCCATATTGGAGTGTCTGGGCTCAAGACCCGATTCCTCTCTTGATTCCAGTTTCCTGCTGAGACCCAGCTGGAAAGGTAGCAGATGATGACTTGAGTGTCCCTGCAACCCTTGTGGGAGACCTGGCTTGAGTGCCCAGGTGCTGGCCTCAGCCTGGCGCAGGCTGGAGTTTACAGGTATTTGGGCAGTGAACCAGGGAATGGAGCTCTTCCGTCTCTCTGCGCCTCTTCTGTAAACAGATAAAATGTAGAAAAGCCCAACTCCTTGACCATAGACTGGCAGCTTTCAGGGATGGGGAAACTTTTTTTTTCTGGCAAGATTCTTTTGGGTATTTATCACATATTCACAGGCCATACAAAAGCATCAACTTAAAAAATATATAACTGTCTATACATGGATTTACTGAATTTGCAGTCCTACCTTCAGTTGTCTTGGCAGGGTCAGACCACATGATTTTTTGGGCCGTTGTGTGGCTCATGAGCTGGGCCTTCTGTTCCCCTTCAAAGTGCTTAACGTGCCTGGGATACTCCCTTGAACTGAGATGGATAGGAATTTGTGGTTCAGGTTCCTTTTTCAAACATACACTTTTCGGTTAGCTTTTTTTAGATTATGTTGTGGTAATAAGCAGTTCCAAACTCTGAATGGCTTTTGGTGACAAAGCTTTCTTCCTCATGCTATGTGCTGTAGCCCATGAGCGGCTGTTGGCAAAACAGGAACAGACATGTAGTTGCTCACTTCCAAGCTTAGAAAAATAAGCAGTACCTTCTCTGTGAATTCAACCACTCTCTTGAAATTAATATTTTCCTTATATATTGGACTACTCAGATATGCCACAATTTATACTTTCTCATGAATTAATTCTGTTTTTTTTTTGTTAGTGTGAACTATGCCATTAGGAACATTTCTTTTTTGTCATCTGGTGTGTTTTGATGCTTAAATTTGAAATTCATATGTAGATTTCAAATTTTTATTTTTTTCTTATGCATATTTTAGAGTATGCATTTTCCATGAACTTCTTAGATTCCTTATGTGTGTGGACTTTTTTGCACCAGCTAGTTATATTTCCTGTGAATGTTTTCAAGTATCCTCATATGCAGTTTGTTTTTATCATTATCTTGACTTCAGTATCCATCATTATCTTCATTGGCTAAAGTATGTGTGTGTGTGTCTTAGTTAGAAGCTTTTAGAGTGAATCCAGTTACTGGCCAGGTAGTCATGGGCCTGCCCTGGGATTATGGCCCAGAGCAGATTTGAGAAGTGTAAATGGACAGAGTACAATGTTCAGTAGTGCGTTGCCAGCTTCCTTTTGCTTGGCTTGTATAATGCAGGACTACATACATATATGGAATCTCTTTGTCCTTTGGTTATTTCATAAATAACAGTAAGAGCTATAGTCATGAGTATATTACAGTGAATTTTTTGGTGTGTCAGAACTGCAAATGTATCACTTCAGTCTAATTTTGTCTCAGATAAATGCTCCGTACAGTATTAAGGACATCTGCAAATTTTTCATTAAGCAGAAACAGCACAATTATCTCTTCATATCTTAATAGCAAGAGGTATCAAGTTGTAGATAAAGTGACAGGGTTTATTATTTAATATTTCAAGTAAGATGTTGTATGTTTTAACAGTTTTCTGTGTACTAACAGGGGTAAAGTGTCTTACTCTATAGGAATAGAAGCGACTACTTTTTGAAATAAATTTGTCCACAATAGAAGATTAGTTGCAGACCTTTTGGTATGTGGTAGTTATATAAAGTACGCAAAGATAAGCAATTTTTAAAATCCAAACTGAGTCCAAGAAGTAGCTTAGTCATCTGTGAACACAGAGCGATAGTATGGCACAAGGAAGTTTTGTTCTGAGCCATTGCAGTATAGTATCAATACCTTTGGGTACCGACTTTAAATGTCTTTTCTACATTTAAATTTTTTCTACATTCAAAGTTAATTTTTTTTTGAGAAGCAGAGAGGAAGAAAGGGAAGTAGAGACAGAGTTCTCATCTGGTGATTGATTCCTCAGATTGGCTCAATAGCTAGGACTGGGCAAGCAGCTGAGAACTTCATCCAGGTCTTCCAAACTCGTGACCGAAACTCGTGAGCCATCACCTGCTGCCTGCCATAGTTAGTACTGGTGGAACCTGGCATCGTAAACCAGAGCTTGCAATGAACCTAGGCACTTTCGTGTGGGACCTGATTGTTTTCATTGGTGTTCTAACCCTAGGACCAAATGCCTATTGCAGATAATTGGAGTTTTACATTTTATTTTTTCTTTCCAGATCCAGCCCCTCTGTGGAACCTCTGAACATCTTTTGCTAGCGAAAACATGTTCTACACAATGAGGCCAACAACTTAATTTGCAGAAGTGTTTATGTGCTTCTGCTTCATCTGCTGCTGTTCACAGTACTTGGAATCTAAGCAGTACAGGGTCTTTTGCGATGACAATATGACTAATAGTAAAGGAAGATCTCTGACCAGTAAAACAAGTGATGGTTCAGCTAGTGGAGGAAGTTTTGTAGACTGGACTTTAAATTTAAATACAATTCAGTCTGACAAGTTTTTAAACTTACTGTTGAGTATGGTTCCAGTGATTTACCAGAAAAATCAAGAAGATAGACACAAAAAAGGGAATGGCCTCTGGCAAGATGGACTGTCAGCAGCAGCACAGACTTTGAGTAACAGAGCTGAGCAGCACATGGAGTATCACAGTTTCTCAGAGCAGTCTTTCCATGGCAGTAACGGGCACATACCATCAGGCTGTAGCCAGAAGTATGATGACTATGCCAACTACAACTACTGTGACGTGCGAGAGGCTTCAGAAACCACTGCCATGCTACAGGACGGAGACGCGTCCAGCGATGGCGATGAGGATGCCATTGTGGAAGCCAACCATAAGTTACCAAAGGAGTCCAGCGGCATCATGGCCCTGCAGATACTTGTGCCGTTTTTGCTAGCTGGCTTTGGGACAGTTTCAGCTGGCATGGTTTTGGATGTAGTACAGGTGAGTTTCCTCTTTTTTTGTTCCTGCATTTTGTTTAAAATGTACATGTATAAGTTACTAATCTCAAACATTTCTTTGGGTTTTATTCATTCCTTAGTAAAGTGAATGGATGGTGACTTTGGTAGAGATCCTTCTTTTTCTGCTTGGAGTTCAGCCCTCCACCCCCTTTGGAAGTTATGATCATTCTGATCACAAAATAGTGCTTTTGTATGTATCCAAAAATGTATCGGGAGTCTCTTGCAGTTGGAGAGTTAGCAAGTTGAGGCATCCTGCCAGCCCCAAGATTTATTTGAAAGTCAGACAGACAGACAGACACAGAGAGAATATTTTCCATCTGCTGATTCACTCCACAGTGGCCACAGTGGTAGGTGTTAGGCCAAGCCAAACTGTGATGCTGGGATTCTGCTGGAATTGGAGATGCCAGGACTCAAACCAGTACTCAGATGACATGATGGCATCACAGGTGGTGACTTAGTCCACTGAGCTACAGGGCTAGCCCCCTGGAAATGCTGATTCTTTCTGTATTTAGCCAAGTAATAAGAAAATGTTATCATGTTTTACTCAATACTTTTTTCATTATTATTATTTAAAAATTTTAAATAATATATATTTAATCCATATATATGTTTAAATCATATATTTAAATCACACCTATATTATATATATTTAAATATATTTTTCATTATTAAAAATTTAAATAATATGTATTTAAATCATATAGAGAGACAAATTAACTGTCCATCTGCTGGTTCACTCCCTGGAAGCTTGCAGCAGCCAGGGCTGGGCTAGGTGAGAGCCAGCAGCCCAGCTCAGATCTGAGTCTCCCATACGGGTGGCAAGGCCTCAGCCACGTGAGCCATATCCTGCTATCTCCTGGGTTATTCATTAATGTGGAGCTGTGTTCGGGAGCAGTGCTGGAGTTCAAACTCAAGGACTCGGATATGAGATGTAGGTGCCTCCAGCAGCATCTTCACCGTTGTGCAAACCTCAAATCCCACATGCTAGCACTTCACTTCTCCTTTGGATTAATTTTGGTATCTTTCATCCATCTAAAAATGTATGTGCTACTTACTGATTTGTAGGGGTTCTTAATGTATTATAGTCAGAAAACTACCTACTATATCTTTTAAAAGTATTAAAAAAAAAAAGAGTAGTAAATTGCCCAAATGCAGCATTCTGTTATTGTCAGTTTTCGTTTTTTAATCAGAGAAAGTTGGCGTCAGATCCACCATTCTGTTAATGTGCCTTCGTCTTTCATTGTTTGTTTCCGAAGAGTCTCGGGTCATTGTGACTCTAAGACACTATTCAACAGATAGCATTTTTATCTAAGTGGAAAATATGAATTAATGGAGACATTTCTGACCATCAGTTGGAGAAATTATACAAAAGTTATGAGGAGTTTTAACTTAGGTAATAATACCAATGGGGAATTAAATGATCTATCCATTTAAAATTTGTCATGGAGATAGCACAGCTGTACCGCAAATAAGTTGGTTTCTGTGTATTTCTCGTATAAAAATTTTATTTATGTATTTAATTTGAAAGCCACAGAGGTAAAAAAAAGAAAGGGGGGGGGGGGAGGAGAGAGAGAGAGCCAGCGAGCAAGTGAGCAAGCCAGCCGGCCAGAGCAAGAGAGAGCTCACATCTTTAAATGTCTGTAATAGGCAGGACTGGGCCAGGCCAAAGCCAGAAGCTATCTCCTTGTGTATCTCCTGTGAGTGACAGGTCCCCAACTGCTTGAGCAGGTCCTGCTGCCTCCTAGGGTGCATTCGGAAGAAGCTGGGAGTGGCAGTGGAGCCAGGACTTGAACCGAAGCACTGTGTTGTGAGCATCCTAAGAGGCATCTTGGCTGTTGCATCAAACACCTGACCGTTGCTTTTATATCTTGCTATACCAGTTATTCTGAGGAAACACTCACTGTTTAGCTATGGAATGATAGCATCTGTACAATGATGTACATATTGATAGGTTATTTACATAGCTCATTTTGTGTATTCTTGTGGTATGTTTAGTTTTGATGCTGTTGAGATAATGTCACACAGATAATTTGAGAAGGTTCCTTTTATAATTTTATCTAAGTCTAAGGTCTCTATAGTATTAAACTTTAGTTTTAAAAATAAAAAAAAGTATGAATATTTTTAAAGATTTTATTTAAATACACTTTTAAATTGTGAATTTTAATAATCCAGAGCTTACAAAGCAAAAACAGCTCAGTGAATTTCATGATAGAAACAATCATTTAACCATATACGTTGGGAGTATATAATCTGTATTCTCTTGCATCTGACTTGTTGTTGTCACTGTTAATCAACATTGTATATGTTTTATGAAACTATAGTTTATTTCTTTTCATTGCTGCGTTGTGATCTATTGTATGAATATAATCCAATCTGCTCTTGATGGACGTTGGAAGGACTGCTGCTTAGTGTACATTGCATAGGTATCTGTTGGATACATAGGTGCAAATGGCATTTGCATGTCCTAGGATAGGCAGGTTCTCAAAGTTAGTAGATGCCAAGTTACTTTCTAAAGTATTGAGACATATGAGAGATTCTTCCTGCTTACATGTTTACTAAAAGTATATGGTTTAAAAAGATTTGAGTAAGACCAAACTATGGTATTTAGTGATGTTTGTTTAATAAGCAAGCCAGTGGTTTATGATAAAATCAGGTGAGTGAGTATCTTTCGTGATCAAAGGAGAAAAATGATAGCAACAAAAAGGAGGTGCAAGATTACTCATGAAATAGTGACAAAAGATACTTTTTTTTTTAGTTTCTTGATAGTTAAATGATTGTTCCTATCATGAAATATTACTGAGATATCTTTATTTACTTGAATGGCAGAGAGAGGGGAGAGACACAGAGAGGTCTTCCATCTGCTGGTTCACTTCACAAATGGCTGCAGTGGCTAGAGCTGGGCCTGTCTGAAGCCAGGAGCATCTTCCAAATCTTCCACATGGTTGCAAAGTCCCAAGGGGCTGTTTTCCAGAGCTTCGCCAGATGCGTTAGCAGAGAGCTGGATTGCAAGTGGAATAGTCTGGCCTCAAACCGGTGTCCATATAGGATGCCAGTACTATAGGCGGCAGCTTTACCCACTGTCCCACACTGCCAGCCCCAGTCTAGTTTACTCTCATTGTTAACTTGGAGCTGTTTTCTCCCCCCACCAGAATTCCCTTTCTGTCTGGCTCCAAGTCCCTTTGTCAGGACCTGTATTCCCACTTTCACAGGCATCACAAGTAGTTGTTCCTTCAGTCTCGTGGTGCCTTTTTGGAATCGGCATGCCCAAAACAAAGGCTCACTTCTGGTTTTCTCTGTGATTTGTTTTCCCCCCTAGTTTTTGGTCTGGTATTTGTTTACTCTTTAGTTAGCTCTCCAGGGTCTCCAAGCAGGTATTGTTTCTGTCTGTCAACTAAAATGGACTGTTGGTGGTCTACTGTCAATCAACCATGAACCTTTTTGTACAATTGGTATTTCAGGCAGGATAGATCTGTGTTCAGGAGGTCAGTATTTCCTTTAGATTTATCTCTGTAATCATTGCAGCCATAGTCATCATTGATGGTAAATGGCAATTTTTAACGTATCACTTGTCAAAACAAAGAGCTGGCAACTCCCAAATCAGGAATGCTATTTGGAGATTTTGTTTGTTCATAAAGTATGGCATTCTGGGAGCCTGTGGCTTAGCATTCTAATTTTTCTGATTTTTGCCAACACTTGTTTGTAAGTATTTGGTGTTATTTTAAATTCTGAGTCTACTCAATTTATTTTTTTCTTGTTTTTTTTTTTTTTTCTTATTTTCAGAGGTGGAGAAAGCTAGGAAACCATTCTGATGTCAACAGTGAGCGTTGAGAGTCTTCTCACTAGCAGTGGGCTGCTACTCAGTAGCATTTTCATTCAAACCAGTGGCTATGGAGAGTCTTAGGCCTTTGAATCTTAATCGTTCAACTTAAGTCATTTGGGAGAACTTGCTTAATTATTTTTTTGGATTTGCTTTCTAATTTGTATACCAACCTTGCATACTTTTAAAAAATGTATTTCTTCTTATTTTCCATGCTACAGTTTTGCAGGTATAGGGATTCCTCCTTTTCTCCCCTCCCAACATTCTTCTCCCGCCCAATGCGTACTATTACAGCAGTATAGACCTCTAGCAACAGTTACAAGTTCAACAATGTTGTGTACCTACTGTAATTGTGTACGTGTGTGTTCTGTGCCTAACATATAACAGATACTTGATAAATACCTATGTGCTATTATTAAACATACTTTACTGTTTTACATCATTTTTCCAATTGTAAGAAGATTCTACACCCATGCCACCCTGACATTTGAGTATATTTTCCAACCTTATCAGACTTGGCCATATAACTTGCTTACGCCAAGTAAATGTGAGGAGATAACATATTTGAACATAATCTTTAAATATGGTTCTTTGGTTTGATTTGACCCTTGGATCCTGCCTTCGACCTTGAGACCATGATCACTTCTTTAGTCTGATATCCAGGAAGATACATGGAACACAGTCTACCGGAGAGCTGCAGATGACTCATAGCCTTTGGTTATGAGAAGTACATTATTGTTGCTGGCCATTAAGTATTATACAATATAGTGTAATGAAGTGTGCTTTCTGCTTGAACTCTGCTCCTTGAAATGACATGTTCTTTGAAGATTTTGTGCCTTATGACTACTCTTTCATTTCTGTTTATTGGTTTGCTTACCTTTTTCTTCTTAAGATTTTTTTTTTTTTTGGATGTTAAATTTAGAGAGAGCGTGCATACGTGAGTATGAGTGAGAGAGACTCTTTTATCCATTAGTTCACTCCCCAGATAATCACAACAGCCAGTACCGGGCCAGGCCAATGCAGCAGTAGCTTCTTGCAGGTCTTCCACATGGGTGGCAGGGGCCTAAACACTATCAGCAGTGAGCTGCATCAGAAGTGGAGCAGCTGGGCATGAACTGGCACCCGTGCGGGATGTCCAAACTGGTGGCCCTATAGGATGTAGACATTGGCAAGTGGTGGCTTAGCAGCTCTGCCACCACGCCACTCTCGACTTCCTTTTTGTGTTTCTAGAAGAGTGGACGTCTCCATGATTCTGCCCCCAGGCTTTACCATTTCTCTAGCTATCTTCTCCTTGTCAACAACATCCACTTATTTTCTTTGAGTTATATCATTAGTGCAGACTGCATACCTAGCACTGCCCTGGTTTTGAATTCTGGGTATGTATTTTCTAGTTTTGAATTCTTGGGTATTTTCTGAACATGCTTCAGATTCATCTTGCTTAAGATGGAATTTAAAATTTTTTCCTCATCTCTTAATTTAATGACTTCCTCTTTCTTTCTGCTTTTCTTCTTCAGTTATCTGCCAGCTTTAGGTGCTAATTAGTGTTTACTGAGAAAAATTGCCACAGATTTCCTGCTTTTAGTTGGAAATATAATGGAAAGATTGAATCACAAAAAAATCAGGATATTTCATAAAATTTATGGAAAATGAAATTAAAACCAAGTCTATTTTGGTGCAAATATATTTTGAATTTTTGTTTTGTTTAAAAACAATTGAGCAGTGAGAGAGCAAGAAAGTGAGAGAGCAGGAATGGGTGCTGGTTTACCCCTCTAGTGCCCGTGGAGTTGGGCTGGGGCCAAAGCCAGGAGCTAGGGGGACAGAGTGTCTCCCACACGGGGAGCAGGAGCCCCATCACTTGAGCTGTCATCACTGCCTACCAGGGTCGACGTTAGCAGGAAGCTGACGTTAGCAGGTGGAGCCAAGAACCAAACCTTGTTACTCCAACTTGGGACCTCAGTGTCTTAATCTACATTTTCACCAACTGCCTACCTGTGGTGCAAAAGAAGTTTCGAAAAGAGAAGCAAAACTTCTCCATGTGAAAAGTACGTCTTTAAAAAAGTGATAAAATCTTTTGCCAATTACTTAAAAAATAATTTCTGTTTTAAGTTAGAACTCTAATAACTGTGTTTTGCAAATGTTTCAAATTTTAAAAAAAATTTATGTTTGTCATTGTGGCCATCAGATTCTTGGGTTTGGATTTAGTCTGCGGTTTTGTTTGACTAGACTTGCTTCCCTCAACTGTTGCACTGTTGGCAGCAGTGTAAGATCAGGCACTGAGGGACTCCGGGACAGGATCATGGAAAGGTTGGTGGTTATAATCCTGGTCTTGGCCTCAGGGATTGCGTGTGTATCTTGCTCAGAACACTGTGTCAGTATGGCACTGTCCAAGCACAGTTTAAGAAAAGTAGCAGTTCTGTCTGTTTTGAATGGGGGCAATTAGAGGGTTTATTATTTTTTGCTCCAAAGAAATAGTCCAGAGTAGAGGAAGCCTTTGACCCTAATATGCTGATTGCAGAGCCCTTCCATTTAAATGTGAAACTGTACTACTTCTCACTCTTGCCAAATTTCCTAAACTATGTCAAGATAGTCCAGGGTTGCTGCGAGACACCGTGTGGAGGCAAGTACCATGGCACTGCTTGACACTGTACTTACTAATACAGCATATATGCCGAAATAGTTCAGCATAACCTGAGATCCACTTCATTCTTTTTGTGATGGATCAGCAGTGCTGGGACAAAAAGCATGTGTCACATCGAAAGCAGTGAAAAGCAGGAAATGAAAGTGATAGTTGTTACTTTCTAGGTTTGAGAAACTGTATTGCTCAAGAACTGTACATATCTCATCAATAAGTAGATATAGCCATAAAAGAATGACACCGGGGGCAGGCATTGTGGTACAGCAGGTTGAGCTGCTATTTGCAGTGTTGACAGCCCTTATGAACACTGGACCCAGTCTTGGCTGTTTTGTTTCTGATCTAACTCCCTGTTAATTCACTTGAGAAAACAGCCAAAGATCACCCAGTTCTTGGGCCTCTGCCCAAGATGTGCCTGGAGTTCCTGGCTAGACCTGGGTCAGACTCAATTGTTGCAGGTTTGGGATATTTGGGGAGTGAACCAGAGGATGGAAGGTTTTTCTCTCTCCTCTATCTGGCTTTCAAACATATAAATCTTTTTTTTTAAATGACAGTTTTTTCCTTCATTATGCTTATTCATTTACATTGCTGATACATTATGAGGAAATATCTACAAAGTTTGTTTGAACCCAACTACTTAATCAGCAGGACTATCTGCACCTGTTGTTCTAGGGGTGCCATGAAATGTTTCTGAGATACTAAGAGTGCAGTGAGCTAAGAAAGTTTGGGAACTTCACATGCACAGACATGGAGAAAGGAATGTAGATTTTTTTTTTTGAATGAGACAAGAAATCAGTAGTTAATAGTTATTAGTATTACACTATGCTTAAGGTGTTAGGGATTTTGTAGTAATTCTCACATGAGCCTCTGATTCGAGGTGAAATTAGGAAGAATAGTCACATCCCAGCCATTGTCAAGTGTTAAAGGTTGTGACTGATGCATCTATGCATTATTATTCTGTGGCTCCCAGAATGAAATCATTAGTAGGTTTGTAAGTATCTTAAAGAGATAACTAGGTGAAATACTTTCCTGTCTGTTAAAAAATAAAATCACAGACTTCCTGTTAAGATTGAGTGAGCCTCAAGAGTGGTGCCTGGAACAGGCCCAAGTGGTCAGTGAAGACAGCTTTTGGTACTGCTGGCTGCTGTGATCCACGCCGTTATCTCGTCCATCATGCCATCATCATCATCTCTGAGGATAGTTGAGTCACACTAGAACCTTGAAAATCACGAACCAGACAAGACTATGGCTTACTAATTTCTATGACTATGAACTTGGGGTGCTGCTGGACCCAGTGCTCTTTTAGGACCCTCTATAATTGGCATGTACTTTAAATGGATTTTTTTTGAGTTCTTTAAGCCTATAATTTGAAGAAGATTGGTCATTTCCTAAACTCTATGTAATCCCCAGTTCTACAGCTTATATGGAATCATTTGGTTTGGCCCTACGAAGGCAACTGCAGATGGGAGCTGAAATTCAATGAATCTGTAGCAGCAAAATTTTCAAGTTGACAATTTTGTATGACCTGTGAATGATGATATAAATGTCTAAAGTGGTTTCCCCACTCGTCATATTTATCTGATGGATTTATGCTTTACTTTTTTTTTTGCCAGTCCTGGCATCAGTGACAAGATGTGTGCTGCTGATATATATTTTTTTAAGATATATTTTTATTATTTTTGTTTGAAAGTCAGATGCACAGAAAGGAGGAGAAACAGAAAGGAAGATCTTTAGTCTGTTGATTCAGTCTCCAAGTGGCCGCAATGGCTGAAGCTAAGCCAATCTGGAGCCTGGAGCCTCTTCTGGGTCTCCCACATGGATGCAGGGTCCCTAGGCTTTAGACTGTCCTCGACTGTTTTCCCAGGCCACAAACAGGGAGCTGGATGGGAAGATGGGCCACTTAGATTAAAACTGGCACCTATATGAGATCCCGGTGCATTCATTGCAAGGCCTTTAGCTGCTAGGCTACTGTGTCAGGCCCCTGTTGGTATTTTTTTTTTTTTTTACATAAAGTTAATGTGTGAAGTTCATGAAGTCTCTTGCTGGGGCAGGAACCTCTTAATAACGTTTGTAAAATCTCACTTTATGTTATTAAATATTTTATGAGATCTTTAAGATTTAGAAAGCACCTTAAGTGTTCTGCTTTTCCCTTTATGTTGTTCCTCCAAAGGCTAGACAGGATTGATGTGTTTTTCTTTTTTAGGGATGAAGAAATTGAAATCGCAAAGATATGGGACTCATCTAGGACCACACAGCTAGTTAATAATAAACCCAGGATTTGTTTTTAGAATCTTGTCTCTGCCTCTCATGCTACAATGGAACTGAATGAAGATTGTGTAGCAAGCTGGATGTAGAGTGAGGAGTATTAACTATCAGACTTCGTTTCCAATGCTGTCTGCTAAAGTTACTCAGAGCTTCACGGCTCCGGAGGATGAGGTTAAGCCCAGTGTTCACTGATAACCTATGCAGTCGTTCAAAAATGTAAATACAAACTTGAAAAAAATGGCTGAGGCTTTTAGTAATGTGTTTGTTCTAAAGTATCAAAATTTTATTTTATTTCTTACAGCATTGGGAGGTGTTCAAAAAAGTTACAGAAGTCTTCATTTTAGTTCCTGCACTCCTCGGTCTCAAAGGGAACTTGGAAATGACATTGGCATCCAGATTATCCACTGCAGTAAGTTTGTTTTTCTACCTCAGGGTGTGTATGCTGGCCATACTGTTCCTGTGTATTAAAGAGGACCTGTAGCGGGTTTCTTTGTCCAGTAGATTTCTAAACCTCAGGGTTATGCTTAGTGAGTTATGCCTAATATCATTTCCTGCAGTCTCGCTGATGTGTTATCTCCTCCGAGGCCAGGACGTTCCAGCCCTGACGTTCAGTTCCCACGACAGGAAGGAAGTCAGTACCGAGGTTCTTCATGGCTTAGTGGCTGGTTGATTGACGCTGCAATTTTTTATGGTCATAAAAATGATACACAGTTACTGTAAAACCTTCAGCCCTTTGCTCTGGGCATGATCACTATTATTAATATTTTGGTATAGCTCTCTCTATTCCTGCGTATCTGTACTTGTACTTCATTGGGTGTTTCATAATGCACATACACGCTATGTGTCATAAAGAATTGAAATCTCATGTATTTTATAATTTGAGATTTAAAACCATCATGACTATCTTCATGTCAGTAAATGTTGATCAGTATCATTGTTTTTATAAACTGTGTGTTTTCTGCTGGATATCTTTCTCACAATATATTAAACTGTCACAGGGTTATTGAATGTATCAACTTTGTCTCATGTTCCACTACTATAAACAATGTTGTGATAAATATTTTTTGCATTCTTATTTTTTTAGGAATAGTTTTAGCCTTATAGTTTTTGTTCAGAAAAAAAATCTGTTTTGATGTCATTAACTTATGCAATATTAATTTGTCATCTAGAAAGATTAAAGATGTTTGAAAATACTGCCACTACTAGAGTCATGAATATTTTCAAAGCCCAGGAGAACATTATCTCTCACATTTTTTTAGAATTCACCATTGCGGAACTAAATGATTGTTAAAACCTCAGAGTTGGGTGTACACTTCAGTGAAGCCATCTGTTCACTGAATATTAGCCCAAAATGAACCAAGCCATCTAGATAGTATTGCTATTTGCAATGCCTTTAGAATATAAAGGGTTTTAAAAAAAATGTTTATTTAAAGAAGCTGATGCAAATGAGTTCATCTATGAAGCAGGTTAAAAAAAAAATCTTATTTATAAGAAGGCAACCAAGAAGAAGCAGCTGAGTAACTTCTGTTGATGAAAATACTGTCCGCCTCCCACTTCCCACTTCACCTCAGGTAGCTGTGAGCTCCCTGACGTTTTTAGGGTAACAGATGCATGCATAGGGAATACATTAAATCACATTTTACTAGCATTGTTAGTTTCCTAGCTGAAGGGAAGTGCTTCATGTGCCCTGTGGAATGTTCTAAGCCTCTTCCTCATATACAGTTCAGGCAGCCATGTCCTGCACAGGACAGTAATGAAACATCTATTTGTGAGTTCTCCTGACATGCTTTACAGGGGTATCTCACATAGCCCTTTGACATAAACACTGCTTTTGTCTCACAGAGAAGCAACTGAGACTTAGAAGTTGAACAGCTTCTCTTTGGTCATGGAGCTGGTATGCATTAGTGGAAGTCACATTAAAAATTTTTTTAAAGATACATTTATTTTTATTGGAAAGGCAGATTTACAGAGAGAAGGGGAGACAAAGAGAGAAAGGTCCTCTATGTACTTGTTCACTCCCTAAATGGTTGCAGGGGCGGGAGCTGAACCAATCTGAAGCCGGGAGCCAAGAACTTCTTCCTGGTCTCCTGCATGGGTGTGGGCCATCTTCAACTGCTTTCTCAGGTCACGAACAGGAAGCTGGATCAGAAGTGAAGTAGCTGGGGACCTGATGTGATGGCTTAGTGGCTAAATACTCACCTTGAATATACCAGAATTCCATATGGGCACTGGTTCCTGTTCTAGCTGCTCCACTTCCAATCCAGCTCCCTGCTTGTGGCCTGGGAAAGCAGTAGAGGATGACTCAAAGTGTTGGGACCCTGTGTGCACTTTAAGATCTGGACGACGCTCCTGGTTCCTGGCTTCAGATAGGCTCAGCTCTGGCCATTGAGGCCACTTGGGGAGTGAACCAGTGGACGGAAGATCTTCCTCTCTGTATCTGTAACTCTCTATAAATCTGCATTTCCAATAAAAATGAAATAAAATTTAAAAAGAAGAAAAAGAAGTAGAGCAGCTAGGATATGAATGGCACCCAAATGGGGTACCCATACCTACAGGTGGATGAGTAGCCAGTTGAGCCATCTCTCTGGCCCATATAAACCACATTCTAAAACATTCCTTCTTTACCTACAGAGAATAACTGTGTCAGAGCTTATTAAGCCAATGAATAAGTGATAACAAAACTCCATAGCCTCTTTATAAAAATGGCCTACTGATGTGTTAGACTGGCGCATTAATATGTAGTATTTTTTAGGACTTGAAACTTAAGAAATTTTAAATATGTTATTTTGAAACCACCACTTACAGATATAATTCAGTTGCTTTTCCCTGCAGTTAGTTGGTGGACTAGAGGTGTGCCTGGGAGTATCAGCCATCTAGGTGGGGCTAAAACCCACAAGGTAGAATTATTGTGGCACATTTCTGTAGTGTAGTCTACAATCTAGAGTGTAATCATGGTAATTACTGAATACTAGACAGATTGGAGAATAATGAAAACTGTTTGCACTGCAGCCAAAAAGTATAATGTGAACCTAGGTTGTCTTCCATTGTGGAATGTAAAGAGATGCTAGCAAACATACAAACAGCAGAGAGCTGGGGATATGACAAAAGGATGCAGGGACAACCCAATGCATAAAACAAATAATGACAGTTCCAGATTTGTGTATATATCATCTGGAGTAAAATAGAAATCTGTTTGTTTAAGAATAGATAACAAAGCAGGCAAAGTCTCTGTTTTGATGGAATTTAGAGAAAGAGTCAGTCTGATAATGCCAACTACTTATAAGTGTATTTCTAGACAGGTCCACTTTAAGAGCTTGAAATGGGAATACGAATGAAGACCAATATAACATTTATCTGCACTTCTGATTCAGCTCTGCTGATGTGCCTGTGAAAGCGACCCAAGTGTTGGGGTCCCTGCACCCATGTGCTTTGGCCTTACCCAGCCCTTGCTGTTGTGGTCATGTGGGGAGTGAACTAGTGGATGAAAGATCTCCCTCTCTGTCTCTTTGTAACTTTGCCTTATGCAGATCTGGTAGCTCCAAGATCAAATTGAGAATTCCTTGGACTTCCTTGGTTCTGTTTCGGAACCTGACTCCTGATGGAGAGCTTGCCCCTGACTGCTGTATGCAGTGCGCTCTGCGAGCCTGCTGCGAGTCTCGGGCTCTATGTCCAGGCTTCAGCTCTACCTCCCTCTGTAGACACACCTTGGGACCTTGTGTACCCAGTGCTTTATCATGAGGAATACTGACTTGAGAAAGAGACCCTGCCATTGGCACCATGCCATTTGGGTAGGGAACTTCATGGTCTCAGGTATCTGGAGAATGTACTAGGAGATTAGGTTGGGCTGGTGTTGTACTTTTGTGGGTAAAGCTGCCACCTGTACTGCCAGCATCCCAAAAGGTGCTGGTTCATATTCTGGCTGCTCCACTTACTAACCCTACCAACGGTCTGGGAAAAGCAGTGCAAGTTGGCCCAATTATTTGGACCCCCTGCAACCTGGTGTCATGAAGTTCCTGGTGTCATTGTACCCATTTTGGGAATGAACCAGCAGAGTATTAAGGTAGACTCAGGAGTGGGGATTCGACAGAAATCTAACCTATGGACACTGGTTTGGGAGATGGGTGTCCTAAACAGGGTGTTAATTGCTGGGCCAAAGGTCTACTCATGTCTTATTCATTATGTAAAGGAGGAGTTTAGAAGCTCAGTATATGGGAGGAGCTTATCAACCATGCACCCTGTTGTCTAACTGTAGTTATCTTTCTGTCGCAAGGGTGGATTTGCTGTCTTCCATAGGCCAAGACTTACATCACTGATAAGATTTATTAGTCATAAACCTGAGGAAATAAGAAAGTGAAGCCTTGAGGCGATTTGAGGTAGGAATGTCCCATGCAGTGCCAAGGGCCAAGGACAGGACTGTTGTGCTAGGACAACGTTCTCAAATTTTCTGATGAGCAACTTCTTAGAAATATGCATTCTCAGACTCTCTCCAGAGCTGCTGACTCAGAAACCCTGGGGATGTGACTCAGCTGTCTGTATTGTAGCAGATTCCGACTTGTGGCCATAAACTTGCTGTGTAGTTGTCCCGGGTCTGACCCTCAGCTAGTGGAGCCTTATTCCTGGCCGGAAGCTTTCCCTTCAGTGTCTGTAACTGTGGCTGTGTCCCTGCGTCACCTTGATTGCTCTAGGATGTTGTTGGCTTTATCATGTAAGAGGTGACCTCTTCCTTCTGCCATCACAGGGGCTCTTCATTGCTCTCTCTGTGTAAGTTCCAAGGCCTGCTGGTTGGTCACATCTACCTCAGAGTGTCCACAGGCCTAGGTGCTTTCTGTAGAACTTGATCTGAAGTGCTGTGGCTCTTGCTTTTCTTTCCACCCTTTGCAGAAGTACTTGAGAGCCTCTGTTGGATTGGAGGAGCTGGCTGTCTTGTCTCTCGTGTGCAGCTGGGTGTGTTCTTTATCCTTGAATGGGAGTGAGCAATGGAGGTGGCCCAGGTGTGTAACATGGGCAGGTTTTGCAATGGTGGGACACATGTCCATGGGATGCTCCCGGAGATCAAGTGTCCTGTTCGTCTGGGGTACCATGTGATTCAGGGAACCCACCCCTGCCACAGCAGCCCTATCTGGTCTGTCCCTGTTCCCAGGTCCTGTGCGTCCAGGCTGCTGCTATAAGTTAGTCTGATGTTACAGGCCAGCCAGCCCAGTGTCCTGTATGTATTTGAGAGGCTGTCCATTTGTTCGGGGGGGGTTGGCAGGGACCCTCCAGAACTCCTACCAGGCTGCCCCCCAGTGCCAGTTCCTACGAGTGCAGGGCGGGTGCAGTAGCCTGCCCTGGCATGCCTTAGCCCTTTCTTTCGCTTGACCAGTGGTTATGGCGGCCTGGCTTGGTGTGCCTCAGGCCTGGCTCTGACAA